TTAGTTGAGCCGCAGATCTATGCGGCATTCAGTGACTGTAGCCTCATAGTCAATATCTGCAGCAGTTCTCGTTCCCCTGAGGCAAAGTAAAGCCGACCGAAGGAGAGAGAAAGACAGTCGACATCTCATCCAGGCTGTAACATAACTTCTGGGCTGCTGCTTCTGTTCGGAGATCACCTCCGCGAGTCTGGCGTAGAAACATCTTGCACTTGGTCCCATCCCACCAGAGGTTGTGAACACTAGAGGAGTGAAGCTGCCTTGATCAACGTTTTGAATTTTCTCCCCATATGCCCTTCTCTTGTCGTTCTCGTTCCTCCGGTGTGCAGCATCGAGAGCTAGGTTACGGTGACATTACTTACTTACTACCATTACTATTAAACAAACCAGCTTGAGTTTTATAAAGGTCATTGTTTGTTTTCCCATTTCTTCCTTCTAACGTCATTCCTTTAATGATTAGCTTTATTTAATTAGTTCATTTTCATATTATGGGCTAACTTAACTATGTAGTGTTGGAGGGTGTGGTGGTAGTGTTGGAGGGTGTGTGGTGGTAGTGTTGGAGGGTGTGTGGTGGTAGTGTTGGAGGGTGCAGTGGTCACTTCAGACGTGTACTGTAGTGTTGGTAGCCCTGCTGTCCGGTAAGTCTCTAGCAACGGTCAGGTTATATCCAACATTTAACGTTCTGCTCGACACCACCACCAATAACAACATCCCTTCATCAAAACTAGACATTATTGTTCACCCAGATGAAGAAAATACGTATTAATCTTTATATTTTGTTTCAAATACAGATATACAGCTGAGTGAATATATACAAGGTAGGAATGCTAGAAAATTGACGACTTAATCAATAATTTCTTTACCTGTCTTTACTTCCACTCGGGGCGCCTGCGCAGTAATAACATTTACGAATATAATAATAACTAATTTCTTTACCTAAAACGCTCATATTGCTGAACTTGATTTCAGAGAGAGTGGCTGTATTCTCTTGAAAGTCCGTGGGTTAGGTTAAGTGATATTAGATTGGGTAAGGTAGAACTTGTTGGGTGTGTGTGTGAAGTAAATAGTTTACTTACAACCATTTACGGGAAGGGGTGGTGGTGAGGGGAAGTGTGGCAGACAAAAGGTTAGGGCGAGGTACTGCAGCCCAGTCACGAGAAGCCATTGAATGAATAATACAACGGTGTGTGTGTGTGTGTCATGGCGGTAGTAAAAATTTAAATGGTTATTATAATGACTTAAATGTTGGGTTTCATTATATTTATGGTCTTTACTCATATAGAAGCATGGCAGTGAATGGTCCAAAGGGTGGTTGTGTTGCACCTCGTCGGGCATGCCATACGTGATTGGTTGAGAGGTGTTTGTGTGTGTTCCTCCTGCCTTTATAAGCTAGGCGCTAATTGGTGGAAAACGTAGGTGTGCCCCCTCGGCCAGAGTAAACTTGGCTCTGATTGGTAGAAAACGTGGGTGTGCCTCGTGGTATACATAAGCAAGACTCTGATTGGTGGTACTGTTTTCCCAATAATATAGTCTCCAGTAAGTATCAGAATGACAATTTTAAGTATCAGTGCCATTTTGATTAATACTTTGCCGGAACTAGCGTAAAGGACTGTTGGTTGATATTATAGGGGAGACTTAACACGATTTTTGAGAATGAGAGGTCTTCAAGATAACTTTGTATTCTGATGTATTAATACTACTTTACTAGTAATGCCAATCGTGATTTGTTTTTGTCTTTATCGCCTAATGTATTTAATGTACATATTTTAGACATGATAACTCTTGACATGACCCACTGAATCTCGAAACAATACTGTAGATTCAGTCGATTTTCAGTAATGGCGGTGCATAACAAGACACTGAGGCCATGACTGTTTAAAGACGCATGGGTCAGTCAGCGCGCCTTTAAGTGGGCGGGAGACGCCACTCAAACACAGCTGCTGCGTTAACTAAAGGCTTCTTGCCACGTTTTCCCTCGCGTAATCAACACCTATCAGTTCCCAAGCATTATCCTTTCCTGCCAACATTTCAAGCCAGTCAATAGATTAATTATTCAGTAATAGTGTCATTAAAGTATTTGATTTGCTGTTTTTTTTAGTTATGGAAGAATTATTATATAGGTTTGTTACCAACCTTCATTTCAAATTGGAGAGTTTAAAGTCTCGTTTTCCGCACTTTTATTGGCTAGTATTGTACACTTCATCGGCCATCATCTCAAATTTATCCTTGGTTAACAAATCTAATTAGGAAATAACAGTAAATTAAGCGCTTTTCATTGGTCAAAATTTCATAACTTGTAAAGAACGTATTTATCGGTATTGTCTGAATCTCGAACCAATTAAATACCAAATACTGTAGTAATTAAGTTAGATTGGAAATGAAGTGGATTAAATGCTGTAATATGTGTTTAATCCTGTTATAATATTGAAATCGTATAGGTATAAAAAACGTTGTTAATGATGTTTATATGTAGTAGTAGGCAGCAGGCTCTCCAAACGTTGTCCATCTAGAGACTACCAGACAAATATTGCACGGATCAGAATGTCCTTGGTGTGTGGGTCATGGCATGGCGGTACAGAACCTGTTATTATCACGTACCGACGGTTCCTCCAGAACATAAATAAGTACCGCAATCCAAGTACGGTACAGTATTCATTTTTCGGTGACGTGAAAGTGAGATTCGACCAGATTCTCCGTCCCGGCACTGAGATGAATAATTTACACCAGACATTTTTGTACTTGAAGGTCAGTGTGCTACCGCCTGACGAATGGTAGATAATATATTTACTCAGTAAAATAATCATACAATTTCACAATATTTCATAATTTATACATAACCAGTAGAAAGGTAAACAGTAAGTTGATTTAAGCTGCTAACAGTGGCGAAGAGGAGAAAGTAAAAAAAATATAGAGCAAGAAATCCATAAAAATCTTATTCCCACTAAGGGGCCGGTACGCTCTGTTGAATCAGGGAAGTGAAAAACTTTAACCATGAACATTTCTCACTCGACTTTTATAAACCACAACTCATCGTACCCACTATTAAACGTCCAGAAATAGACGCCAAAACGTGTGTCCGCCCGAGTGGTGTCACAGGGGGCGGGAAAGCAGCGGGTACCTTTAAACTCGGTGGTCATGGCGACAGTGACGTCAAAGGGACTCTACAGCGGAAGATTCCAGTGGTGTGATGTTCCTCTCCATTCATCAAAATAATGCCGTTGATTATTTTAAGTGTAGGCTTGGTGTAAGGCATGGATGTTGTCAGGATATCATTATAAATAGTTAGGCAGTAAATTACCTTGTTCCATGATTTATAGGTTAAGGTTATTTGTTATATAATATAGTAAGAGTGTTCTATGGTATTAGTGTGGGAATTACGTCACGTGGAGGTGTAGCGGGTGACGTAGGCCGTGACAGTGTGTGTGGCTCCCTTACAACGCGTTTTTTTCTTGTATACATGGTGTAGTTCCTGGTCCTCAGATTACTCAAATAATCCATAAATGCATCGGACATGTCAATACCGCTCCCTCGTGCTCCCAGGACCTTGCTTGCATCAGTCTTGTGCCGGCACCGCAGTGATTAAATGGGTAGAAATAGATTTATCCTTCCCTGTACTCATCTATTTGTACGTAATGATGTCTCTAATGAATTATGTGGTATGTGGGGTAATTTAAATATAACTTATTCTTGTCGATAATTCCATACAAACTGGTGCTACAGTATAACTGTACACTTAAGATTGGGATCACGTGCAGTTTAGGCACCCCAGTTTATATCATCTTAAGATTAACCAGCTTAACGCTAACCTAACCTGCGTTTAATCTTCAGGTGAAATTTACTTGGGGTGCCTGATCTTCACGTAATCCTGGAAGTGTACCTATTAATAATTATTATACTTATTATAATTGGTATATTTACTCAATATTGATCTATGAATGACGTGTTATTTTGGCAAATACTGTATATATAATTATATATATTGTCATCATGTTTATTTGCTTTTGTGTTCACTGTTATTTCTCGTGTCAAGCGTTCTTAGATATCATCATGTCTATTTTGGATTTACTGTAATGTGAAACAAGGCACTTAAAGCGTGTAAAATTTATAAATAAAAAAAAAGTACGATGACTTGAGTCCCCTAATTACTGTGACCTAACCCTTTGATGCCTAACCTAACCTAACTTTGACTTCATATGAATGATATTTTATCAGACTGAATTTGACTAAAAAATGCGTAACAGCAGTAGGGATTGTTATGGTAAATGCAGTACACTGTATGTACTGTACTGTATATGTGTGTGTAGTATGAACATGGTAACTCCCTATACAGAAGTTGGATACACACATACTACTGTTATTGGATACATATAGACTTACTGTAGTTGGATACATATACAATACTGCCCACCCTACTCATTTGACTGCAGCAGACCAAATAATGGAGGATTTTATGGTTACAGTGTTAGAAACAACTGAAGAATTTCACGTTGCTTGCCCCAGACTCCCTTGTTTGTTTTGCACCTAATCAATATCAGTTGGATTGTTTACTTGGGGGTGTCCTGTTGTTTCATCATATCTTGTTTATTTTTCAACAAATAAAAATAGTTTTATTTATAAATTCTGGAAATTAATGTTTTTCCAACGTATTTTTTAACATACAGTATTAATTTGGCAAATGATGACATTTAATGGTTGCATATCTGTAGGTTTTCCAATATACCATATACTGTACTGTACTATATAAGTCATGGCTGTTGATTGCTGGTTTTATGCTTATATACCTGTAGTATATTATCAACAGATTAATAACCACTGGTACTTGTAACATGTGTAATTATGGCTCAGAAATACCAGCCATCACTCATATGTGTACTTTTGTGTCAAATAATAATTAGTACCCCTGTATTTGTTAGATGGCTGTTATGGGTCAAGGTTATTGACCATCGCTCACTTTTACTATAATATGCTCGACCAGTTTCTTATTTCTGTGATGATTTTTGCAGGTGGTATCTCTGTGCCTGATGCCTTCCCTCATGGACGACCCCAACATTCCTTCAGATGTGAAGGAGCGGGCGCAAGGTATCCTAAATGGGTGTAAAGGCAGCTCTTTGGGTTCCTACAGTGACTCTGCCGGTGTTGAGGTCATCCGTCGTCACGTGGCAGAGTACATTGAGAGACGCGATGGATTTCCCTCCAACTGGGAAGATATTATTCTCTGTGCCGGTGCCTCAGAAGGAATTAGGGTATGTTTATATGTACAAATACAAAAATAAAATAGAATTACTGCTGTTTATTCACTGTTGCACCACCCTGTGTATTAGTGCAATTACATATAGTATAGTACATTATAGTCTTGGTTTATGTGTTTTAGAATTTGTGACATGTTGATTTTAAACAACCTTTCTCCTTGGTGTTGTATTAGTGTTAAAGTTGTGCCCAAGTGTGTTTGTGTGTGTTTACTGGAAAATGATAACATTTTCTTTCAAGATGTTCCCTTACATTCATAATTAAACATTGATTGGATGACAAGTGATATAAGTTCCCTTTTACAGTTTGTGATATAAAACTGAGTTTGTTTCACCATATTTGGATGACATGTAGCAGACATGTTATGATTCCTCCACAACTATAATCGAATATGATTACTATAACCTTGCAAGTCCATGATTTCAATTACGATTCCTTCCAAAAGTAATGGATGTACGGTAGTCTTGCCTGTTCCAGATATGCAGGAAGCACAGTACTTGCACCTGGATGTATAGCCACTGTCAAAGCAATCAGGTTTCTCATAAAAGTTATACACAACTGAAGATTTAGCTACTGACATACTGATGATAATTTGATAATTATCTGGAATAAAATGCAACACCAACTTGTCACTGAAAGTCGCAGTGTTATAGTAATTGGTATGATGTACTGTACTGTACCAATAAAATCAGCAATACATGTTAAAAATTACAAAGTACTGTACTATATAACTTCTAATTTCCCCTCCCAAAATTACAATTATACTTATTTTAAATCTAGTATTGGGGTACCATAAGTTCAAAATTTATTATAAACTCTAATTCATTTCATCCATCTTTTATAGTACAGTGTACTGTACCTGTATTCATACAAATTTAGAACATCATAAATACTATACTGTACGTACTCTTATTACCACCTTTACATATACTTATGGTACATTTTGTTGAAGTTTGTACAGTAGTTCATCAGTGTATGTTCACATACTAATATATACAGTTAGAAAAATCACATTAATTCAATTAATTCATTTGATTCATGGAAACTGTCAGGTCATTATTGTTTTTTTTTATTTGAGTGAAAGACAGAGTTAACTACTGTACTGTACTGGTCCCATGGGCCATTATTGTTCAGCCTTTCAGTCAACATTCTGGGGTGTTTGTAACCCAATTTTTTTTATGGTATAAATATTTGTTTATGAATTCTAAGGATTTATGCTTAAATTGATCTTCATATTTTCTTGTAAATATTGTATTGTCTCCACCAGGGAACAATGAAGATGATGATCAAACATGACAACAGCATCAAGCCAGGAGTGATGATCCCAATCCCACAGTACCCACTCTACTCTGCCACCATAGCAGAGTTTGATCTTCACCAGGTAGCTACCACAGTACAGTATACAGTACTTAATCCTCTGGGTCAGCTGTACCAGGAACCTCTCTGTCTGCTTAACATCTTTAATCACAATCCAGATTAATTTGTGAACTATGTAAACTTGATCGTGGGTCTTGTTTATGACAGTATTTGAAGCTTATGCCATTTAAGTGTCATTATTGTGACTATTCTGAATCTTTGTTATGTTTAATTATTAAGATTTTTTTTATAGTATAGCTTAGGATAATCAGATACTTTTATATTGTACATTATTGAGTGTTAATGTGAGTGGGTAAATGATTGATTGAGTTAGTGGGTGGATGAATGTGTGGGTGAGTGAGTGCAGCATTTACTATATACTCTTCACTGTACTCTTGTTTTTACCTGTTAACCACCTTGATTTGAGGATTAAAATTTTATCAACACTTCTGCAGATTGGTTACTACCTAAATGAGTCCACCAACTGGGGGCTCGACATTTCTGAGCTGGAGCGAGCGTATGATGAAGCCAAGGAAGTGTCCAATCCAAAGGCTTTGGTTGTTATCAATCCTGGCAACCCAACCGGTCAGTCACTTCATGTTCATCTGTCTTGAATTTATATACAAATTTGGAAACTTTTTTGTCATTATGCAAGCTTATGTGCTCACATGTGGATACTGGCAATACTCCTTGGCCAAAACTAGCTGAAGGGTGAACAAAATCTGCAGTTAAGGTCATGATTCAGTCTTTCAACCTTTATTGGCAGCTAAGGATTCCCACCTCCCCTCATTTCCTGTGCACAAAAAAAGAAACTCAAGGAACATGTAACTTCCACAGATGGTGACCACCTACAGCTAACTTCCACTGATGATGACCATGTTTTAAGGGATAAAGAATTTGATTACTAGATTTATACTGTCACAGGGTAGAATTTATGGTTAATAAATCAGAGAAACGAATTAATACAGAACTCTTAAGATACTCAAAGACTTAAGATGGGGTAAGAAAGATAACTAAGTTCCACTCGTGAACAAATAAGTTGTGATCCCAAGAAAATTATAAATACATACTGTACTGGCATCTGTTCTCAGTGTATAGTCTTACTCCAACAAGACTCATTTAACTCAGTCATCTGAATCTCTGGGCAGTGTACTTTTATTTATCTTTTCTCATTGGTTAGTTTACATTCTTATAAGAACCATTTAACTTAGTGATCTTATTCTGCAGGTAATGTACTCACAAAGGAGAATATTCAGGGGGTCATCAAATTTGCTTATGAGAAGAAACTCTTCCTTTTTGCTGATGAGGTGAGCTGAATGTATTGTGCGAAGTATACCCGGGTAATGCATTTTATACAAAACTTAAAAACTTTTTATCGTGAAATTTAAAGGTTAATTTTTTTATTCATTTATTAAATTCATGTGAATACAGATACAAACGGTAGGTATAATTAACTAAAACTATCTGTGCAGAAAAAAATCTATTTTTTTTAAATATGAATATAAATGCACATTACAGTATTTAGGTATTCCTCTAATGGCCATGTTCTCTGTATTTTGCAGGTGTACCAAGACAATGTATATGCAGAGGGCTGTAAGTTCCACTCATTCAAGAAAGTGGTAATGGAAATGGGTGCTCCATATAACCAAATGGAACTTGCTTCTTTCATGTCATGCTCCAAAGGTGAGCCATGATGCTTAATGTCCACATATATGTCTGTTAACAAGTGGTCTTTATACAAAGTTACTGGAGCTTGTCCATTCTGATCCTGGTGAGGAGGCTCAGCTATTCCTTTAGGGTTGTAGTTTGTGAATTACAGGTGGATTAGGGGCAGCTCCAGGCAGGGGGTCCTGGGGGTCTGGACCTCCCTTTTCATCAGAAAATTCCAATACTTTTTCTTTAATGCAGTATTGTACTCGGGCATTTTTGTATAGTAAAAAGTAATTACTATTGATCTCAGAATATTTCCTAATATCAAGTGCACGTGGCTTCAAAATGACCTCAAAATGCCTATGATATTGGTCAGATTTCCAAAAAAATTCTGGGAGGGGGCTCAATATGCTCACCACGTTCCCCCCCCCCCACCCACAACTTTTTGGCATCCCTCCCCCTTTCTATATTACTAGATCCACCACTGTGGTTGGACCTGAGGCTACAGTACTTGAAGGTTAGACACATCATACAGGGTAATATAATAAAGTCAGTACCAAAACCCACCCATTTAGAATCATTTTTAGTATCAAGTAGAGAGAAAGATCGTACTACTGTAGTAGGAAGGGAGGACTGTAGCATAGAGGAGAGTGTAGAGTTGTAAAAGGAAAAGGTTTGTGGTGGTTGCATGATTTTTTATTTTCTTTATTAATTGGCATTTTTTTGGAATTTAATGACACGGTCAGTTAATGTTTACCCTCTTGGTACGAGGCTGAGTGGGGAAATTTCCAACTGTTCCTCACCTTATGATAAAACTTTCACCATCCAATGAGCTGTATGTTATGGTTAGGATATTGTTTAACTTGTAATTTGGGATAGATATACAGGTACATAATTTTCTTTGAATTTTTTTTTGTACTCATTTACAAGCCTACACTATCCTACTTACAGAATGTGCACAAAATTAAAGAAATGCTTACTATAAGGTTAAAAAACTAAGGTAATAAAATTATGTGATTATACTGACTGATAATCATTGAGTTACACGATCACGGGCAGATGTTATCACCATGGAAGAAAGCGAGGGACTGTAGTGCAACAGGTGGCCATGAGCGGTGTAGATGATGCTGTGGCTGACATGTTCAGCGAGAGATGTGTTCCATATTCTGCGCATCAGTGAGTTTGGCCGTCAGATGGCCATCGTTATGTGAATTTTTTTAGCATAAATAGGGCGGTGGTCTTAATACATTACCATCGTTCAAGCGACATATCGTAATTAGGGAGATCATAAATCGAGGTTTACCTGTACAGGTATCCCTCATTTAAAATTCATTCACTTTGTGAAATTTTAGTTTAGCAATACAAAATTTGTAACACTCTTTCTTATTTAATGATTGGTCAAAATTCGGTTTAGCAATGTTCGACTCACTGGGAAAAACTCAGCATAAAAGTTGGAAAAACTGGGGATTCTGGTCTCCAAGTGAGTACATTACATTACTCTAATGTGGTTTAGAAATAAATAAAACATAATGTAAAACTATAAAATAAAATAAATGAAGAGCATGGGTGTGTATGTGTGGGAGTGAATGTACTGTATGTATTGAGGTTGTGAGCTGTAACTGCAGCCAGTCACACACGTCTCTTGAGCCCAGATAAACTGTGCCGTGTGTATACTGTACTGTACCAGTAAATGTGAGGAATAAAGAAAAATAATAATAAAAAATACAAAACAGTGCATTGCCATTTGGCAATCATTTCACTACTCATGGAACACCGTGCTGACTCCAGTGCAGGTAAGAAATGTTTACTGTATTCCTTTTATGTTTTGACCTTATTATACTTTTATTTTTTGCACATACTGTATGAACGATTGAGAGTGCATGTGACAGGGTAAGAAAACGTAAATGTACAGTACAGTATCTACCTGAAATTAGGAGTTGAAAAATAACCATAACATAGATCACAGGTCAACCTCACCGTGCTACTGGGTGGCGAGAAAGTTACAGTCCACTACCTCAACGAGACTATGCACATGATCACTTGCTACACATACACACCCATGCTCTTAATTTGACTCATTTAACAGCTTTATTTTATATCTAATTTTATTTTTTAGCCACAATAGAGTACAGTACATACTGTACTGTAGTGATTATTCCAGAACTTTTAATTTCATTACATGTGACAATGGCAACATGCTATCTCCATGGTTATTATTCCTCGTTTAGCGATAATTTTGCTTCACGTTAGGTTCTTGGCAACACATCCCCATCGTTATATGAGGGATACCTGTATTCTGTAATTCAAGTTTCTTATGAGACAACGATGTCTTACAGGATACATGGGAGAGTGTGGCCTGAGAGGAGGTTATGCTGAGATAGTCAACTTGGACCCACAAGTTAAGACTATGTATCTGAAAAGTATTTCTGCCAAGTTGTGCCCCACAACCCTTGGTCAGGTAAGATGTCATAAAGTATTACTGCACTCGGGTAGTCATATGTTTGTTGCCTGTGAGATGGAAAATGTTGGTGGTACAGCAGTAATGTGCTTTTCTCTCAATACTGTGTCCAGGGTTTAATCCCTGGCCTTGGACAGATGTGAAAAGGGTGTTATTCTGTGTGACCCTACCAAACATTGCAGGTTTCTTTGGATACTGTGGTTTCCTCCTATACTAACACTGGACAATGAAGGTCATAATAAAGAACAGACTAACTACTTGAATGATTAATAAGCTGATTAATGGTGACATGATAAATGATTAGTACATTACTGTGATGTGTTGATGCATGAATACTGAAGCTCTTTCTCAGCCCTACATTAGGTACCTTTATATAGTATAATGAAAGGTAGGAGAGGAAGAGTGAAAGTTGAGGAATATACTCAGGTGATGAAATCTACGAGTGTCAGTGGAGAAAAACAGAAGTGCTACAACTTGGTGTATGGTGATTACGAATTGTGTGAAAGTGGAACAGTAAAGGGAGCTGGAAATCTCAGTGATAACTGTAGAGGTAAAACTTTCAATAAATGTATTAGAAGTGATTTACTTTGTCTCATTGATGAACTGAGGATGAACGTGTTTATTGATTTACAAATTTTCGATGATTCTTTTTAGGATTAATACATCTGTTGCACGCTGTTCAGTTAAGTATTGTACACGTGTGGTAAATAATTAGTACAGTAGATGGGAATTCCCAGTTTTCTAACACATAGAAATAAAAAAATAATAATATTCTTCTAGGCTGTGATGGAATGTGTTGTGAACCCACCAAGAGAGGGAGAACCTTCATACGAGCAGTTCATAGAGGAGAAAAAAGCCGTCTTGTCATCACTTGCTGAACGTGCCAAGATGGTTGCTGAAACATTCAATTCTGTGCCAGGGATGTCATGTAATGTTGTCCAAGGAGCCATGTATGCCTTCCCACAGGTACAGTACAGTATCAGTTTTCAGAAAGCTCTAACTTAAGTCCACTTTTTAATCAATATGGAAAGGAATTGTTTAGGTACAGTTTTGCATGAACTACTCTTTGCAAATGACAAACATATAGCTACAGTACAAATATATACTGTAGTTCAGAAATCATTTAGATGACTTGGAACTTGTAGAGTATTTTATTATTTTACTGAAGCCAATTGTTGAAAGTTTGTGCTGGTAATCTGGTGATGCAGAGAGTCCGATTTTAAGGAAGCCCGGTTAACATGGGGCTCATAGAATTTTCAACTGTGACTTCAGTATGTAATTTACACTTAGTGTGTTATCAGTAGAAAAAAAAAACCTTCGCTTTCATCTGCAAGTCATTTCTCTGTCATCGGTGGCTTGGCATATTTCTCCAGAAGAAATTTTATGTATATGGATCCAGTGATTAACTTATCGTGGCTACCAGCATGCAGTTTTCCTGGCTTGAGCTTTCTGTTGCCTACAGTGAATAAAAAATAGTATTCCTCACATATGAGAAATTATTGTGTGTTTGTAGACATGTATATTTATCCTTTGATGTCTATCTCAAATTGTTCTTATCTTTTATGTAGATCATGTTGCCAGAGAAAGCTGTACAAGCTGCAAAAGCTGCAGGTCAAGCTGCTGATGTGTTCTATGCATTCCAACTACTTGAAAACACTGGTATTTGTATTGTCCCAGGCAGTGGGTTTGGGCAGCGACCAGGGACTTACCACTTCAGGTCAGTAATATCTCTATACCAGGGGTTCTTAACCTGGGGTCCGTGAAGGTCAGATAAAAATTTAACATTTATATTCACTATACTTTGTGTATGTCATACACTGTATGAGGCAATGAATTTTCAATAAAATAAAGTATATTCATTGCATGCAAAGCTGTGTTTATGTGCTTTTTTCTAGGGAGGGGGTCCATAGCTTTCACCAAATTCTCAAAGGGGTCCGTGACTCAAAAAAGGTTAAGAACCACTGCTCTATACTGTAATGTCTGAGTGAAAGGTACAGTAGAAGCAAATTTGTGACCTCATCATTTCTACAGTTTACCAAATTACCACCTACACTAATGAAGGTTGTCCTTATTCAGTTTTACTACATGTACAATCCCCTAAAAAGTACCATTACCCACGGGGTTGATGTGATTGTAGACTTTCTGAGCAATATTACTTGACTTGTTTCTGAACGGTTGGTACATTCACAATGTTACGAGTTGGGGATTTAGAATATAGTTAAAAGTCTACCCAGATCCCAACAGGTAACAACAATAAAAAACAAAGACAATCGGACTATAAAAGGGTAGACAAAGGATGCAAGTTTTTGTTGTGTATAATAAAGTACCATAAATTCCTTAACAAAATATTCAGCTTTCTATAATTTACCCTTAACCATAAGTAGTCGGGGTCTAGCTGTATTTGGCGAAAATTTTGGATTATGATTGTCATTGGTAATGTGTGGTGAAAGTGACTGACACTGTATGGTGAAAATGACTGTCACTGTGTGATGCAGTGACTGATTGTATGTGGCGAGGTGCAGTGACAGATGAGAGATATATTGTATAATTATACAGTATAACCCTGCTTTACGCGGTCAATTGAACCCATGGAGGCCCGCTTAAAACGGGAAACGCGTAAATGGAACAACAGAACATATGGGATTAATTGAAATAGAGACTGGGCCGACCCCCAAACTCCACTTTTTCAGACACAATACCTACGTTGTAGTAAAAATAACTTCTTAATTTTATGATGGTATGCACACACAATTAATAATTAAGAGAAATATCAATAATATTAGGTTTTTTAACACGTACATTAGTAGAAAAGATGGCTGGGCACACGGGGATGGGGGGTTGGTTCCGAGGCAGAGGGCAGATTATTGGCTCTCACCTGTATCACTTGTATCAATTGTATCACTATCCACCACAGAGGCTAGCAGGGCCTCTTTGTCAAACCCCTCAAAGTCCATATCCTCACTATCACTGACTTGGGCTGGCTGTGGTGGGTGGCGGGTGAAGAACTCGGTAACATTTTGATGACTGGCCGACCTTGTGCGCACCCTGCCCACGCCGCTTCCCGCGGGGTACCGCGTAAATGTAGAAACGCTTAAAACTGAAACGCGTAAAGCGGGGTATTACTGTACTGTACTGTCATACACAGTGGGTATGTAGAGTTCATAAAAAATGAGTGTATTAATTTTAATATGATTAATTTATGACTTTTCCCCAAAGTTTTGTTTTCATGTCCTGTTACATGTTTATATTATTATTTTTTACATTTATGTATTTCATTGTCAATTACTTCTATTTTATTTTTCACTTTATCTTATAAATGTTTTCTATATTTACATTACTGTATATTATTAATAATTTACAAATTTGAAATTTCATTAACAGTCACTAATTCTTATTGATGGTCTTATTTTTCATACATTTACCATTTTTTAATCTATGTCTTGAAGTAGTAATTCCTCTTTTGATTTCTTACATTTCATTCTTCTCCCCAGGACCACTATCCTACCCCAGCCAGAGTTGCTCAAGACCATGCTTGAAAAGTTCCGTGACTTCCATTCGAATTTCATTAAACTTTATGAATAAGCAGTTTCTTCATCAAACTTCTAATTACACATATCCGTAAGTATTGATATGGGACTCAAGGTTAATTTATAGTATTGTTGGGGCAGTTGACTAACAGTGAGGTCAGTCACGGACAGGAATGAAATAGATGAAATGTAGAATTATTTTTAGGTGAGAAATTAACCAATTAGATTACTGTATTGAGTAAGTGAGAATTTTCCTGTAAATTATTTTGAAGGCAGGAAATTACTTGTAGATTACTTTGAAGGGGAGAAATTTGACCTGTAGCTTGACATTGTAGGTACTGTAGTTGCTTTGCCAGCGTGGTCACTGGATATAATGACATGGGTTTGAAGTAGGAGTTAGTTTAGAGATAGAATGACACCAGGGGCTCGTAACATTGTCAAGTGTCGCTTAGATGTGTATTATAGGGAGCCCACACAAGCATGGGAAATGGAAATGATGTCAACAGTTTTATAAATTCTGCTATTTGTCCTCTTGCATCTATTTGGATTACTGTACATGCACGGTGCCTTTTTGCCACTCGTATTAATTGTAAAGTTTTGTGTTGAGCAAGAATGGCTGCATTACATAATGAACCGGCATGCACAAAAATAATACAAATAATTTAATTTCTGTTGTTATGATTACCACCGGTAATGTTAGTTTAACACAGAAGTATAGTATTGCAAGTGTCCTGCTCACAGCTGACCCGATCAGTCTGAAATCAAAGCCAGTCACTGATTTCTAAGGCACCCATAAGGTGAGGTAGGTCAATAGCAGTAATGCTTGAGAAGGTTGAGGGCAGTCAATATGTTGACCTTGTTTCCTGTGGTGGGGCAGGTTATACCACCATAAATCGCCAAATACTACTGATGAACTACAGTTATGTATGAAAACTTCATTCACTGTATTGGGTCAAGAGTACAGTGACCATTTGAGTTGTTGCTGAATAATTGTATAACCCAATTTTACAATCATGCTTAGTTACTTTTATGATTCTCAAGAATTCAACTTATGCATGGATATTTTAACATTTTGTCTTGTTTTCTTGAAGTCAACAAATGACATCTGCTTCATTAGTGGTAGTTTAACTAACATGCAGGAACTTAAGGGGAAAAAAATTAAAAGTGGTGTTGGGTGTGACATATCCAGTTGTGGAGTTGGTTAACAACTTAACTTTTTTCATACATTAACTTCTTTCAAATACTATAATGGAAAAGTATTGGATACATACACTTCAAGACATAATTACTACTTATATTAAAGCATTGTCTCCCAATTTAACCTAAACCAGATAGGGGAAGGAGCAGATAGACTCCAGTTAAAACACAGCACTTGCTTTTGTTTTCAGGAACTCATCCTCCACACTCTTAACTGCAGCCACAAGACTGAGGTTTAAAAAGGGTAATATCTTTATCTGTCCATAGCAGTGCAATAAACACAAGTATCTCATACCTGTCTATCCATGGGTCTGTGTTAGATAAAGTGTTTTGTATTTTCAAGTTCAGGAGAAATGTGTTCTTCAGTTTAGTATACAGTACTTTGATCAATATTTTAGAAAAAAATTGTATGAAAGAAAAATCAAATGTACTGTACAGTAAACTGTATTTTAATATGATTTGTGATTAAAGGTTGTATATATTACTGTATTATTTTAAAAAAGACAAGTTCATAAGTTTGTAGTAATTATATGTAGTCTTTTCAGTAAAATGTTCTTTTTTTTTTCTCTCTAAAAAAAAAATGAGATATGAATATTAATACTTTAGCATCTACATATAGTTAGTGAGCACTTGTTACAAATTGCATCATTAAAATATGATTGTATATGGTAATGACTTGATAAACACTATTAAAAGATTGAATTGAACTCGGTAATAGTACTGAATACCTGTACTGATAATTATATTGCCTTTAAAGAAATCACACCAAACACACAAATAAATATACCAGAACTGTAAATGCTCATATAGAAAGCTTCATTTTTCAATTGATAATTGCTCACATTAGTTTTTCTTGTAAATCAGTAATTGTTTCAAAATTTTATATCAATCTTTGTCCATGTATTGAACAGCAGAACTAAATGTTTGATTATATTTTGGCTAAGTACTATACACATACTACCACTCAAGGAGTGTATTGACCTGATATTGTGAATATTGTATACTGTATATTATATCATACTCTGTTCACCTTCTCTATATACTGTAGTGGCATAGAATAATCTTCAATTGCTACCTAAAATGATTTGTATTTTTATATTGCCCTAATATGGTCCTAGGTAACACTGTGTGTGAAACCAAAAGTTATTTAGTAATTAACAAAAATTATTACCCAGTGGATATTATCTAAACCAAAAAATTCTGCAGTGTATGGAAGTTTAATGGTACAATATTTGTAAAGTAACTGATTATTAAACAATTTATTATTTAGAACCATTATAATGGTGTCATTGTGAAAGAAACACTACGGTATTACTTGCAATTAATGGAATTTCAAAATGCTGTGCTTCCCAGAATATCACTAGAAAAAGATATCCTTCCCGGGAAGACTGTTTCTCCCCTTTGCTGGATTATGGCACAGCTACTGAAATTTTATTACGAAACTGAATTTTACAACATCATGTGATTTATGGTAAAAGCATTTGTGCTGTGGTTATGTTTTATTTAGATTGGCTTATAATTAAATATGCATTAATTCTGGAGGATATTGCTAGAGATTCATTCATGCATCTTGTAATTCCAGTTGCTGAAATCTGGATCACTTCTGCTGCACACTTTTATAAATTTGGAATGCACTGAACTGTGATAAATCTGCCTCACTGCTTGATGAGCAGTTACAATGTATAAATAATTACCCCATGCAAATAAAATCACGTAAAAAGTTTGCTTTATACTGCAATGTAATTTATTCCTTCAAGAAATTCTTAAAACCCGGCAATTAATCTCAGCCATGGTCATAGTGTGCCACAAAGTACAGTACCATTCTAAGTCACTATTTTTGTTCTAAATTTGTGCAAGTTTGAATTGTCTGCAGTCAGTGGCTGCTCTAAACTTATTGACCGTTCGCTGTATCATGGCTGCTGCCTCAGTGCCAAATTTATCATCATGGAGAACACAATGCCTCAATTTTGTGGGGATCCCCTTCCCCCCACCTACATCACAATGAGAGATAAGGAAAATTATACATTCTACACCAGAGGAATCCTTAGCATTGATGGATGTGTTAAGAAGTAAAGTGGAATTTGCAGAAATGGAAGAAACATTAGAAAATGACAGTGATAAGTAGTAACATGAGACAGCCCCCAGTACTGTACAAGAAACCCGAGTGCAAAAAAAAAAAAATTATAATATATTAGTACAAGATGTTAATGTTAAAAAAAGTTGTTTCATGATTAGTGAGTATAGTACAAGGAATTCTGTCCTAACCTAAAGCTAACATTAACTTAAACCTCCCCCCCCCTTCTCAGGTTGCAATAGGATGTTTTATCAGGTGAGGTGAAATAAGCTGTGGGGGGGGGCTAATATTCAGGTGATCCCAGATCTCTTACGGTAGTTGGCAGTGCAGTGTTTGTATACCTGCTTTGTCTATATATATACATTATTAGCAGTGTTGTACGTTGACGCCATTAATTTAACGCCGTCAATGGACGGCGGCAACTTTTTGTTGACGCTGACGCCATCAATTTTTTGGGCAGGTGACGCAGTCAACTTTTCACCCGAGCGGAGCGTCAAGCATCAATATGTTCGTCAGGAAAAAGGCCACCAACCAGCTTTCCAGGTTGGTGGAGAAGTCCGTGCACGAGACTGAGAGCAGCAGCAGCAGCAGTGAGGGAGACGACAAAGACCATGACATGGGGGACGAATTGTTCCAGGCCCTGTACGAGACACCCCGCAGGAATGAAAAAGACAGTGACCTTTTCAAGTGTTTCCTGGGGGAGAAACCTTAAAAAAAAAAAACTTTCGACAAGGACACCTTCCCCAACAAGGCCATGGGGGAGTTGTTCATCAAATACAACACCCCCATCCCCTCTAGTGCTGCCGTGGAGCGCATGTTCTCTGTGGGCAAAGACGTCTTGTGGCCCAAGTGCAGCAGAATGAGTGACAAGCATTTTGAGATGCTAGCATTCTTGCGGGGAAACAAATGGATAATTAAAATTATATAATATATATCATAATAAATGATTAAAAATGAATTAATATTTTTTGATTTTGCATATGTTACTCCCATACACAGGAGAATACGCGTTTCGTTTCTGGGCTGCATTTGTATGTCTCTGAAAACTCGTTGACGCTGACGCTAATGGCGTCAATTTATGAAATCGTTTACGCCGACTCTGATGGCATCAAATTTCTCGACCGTTTACGCTGACGGCGCCACTTTTTTCGTTAACCCGTACAACACTGATTATTAGCATACCTGCAATATGGGGAAGTCGGGGAGGATGGCCGCCCATATTCCTCACCCCACCTCCATCAAAAGTTGGTGACTCTTAGGGAATTTCCCCATCTAAATGTTGATCACAAAATTCCACTTTCCAGCAGTCTCTCTCTCTTTTCTCCCACCTTTCCCACATACTGTACTGTTGTATGTATGAACCAATGTGAAGTTTTAGACGATTTTACTGAATAAATATCAATCATAAATACAAATAAATAAGAATAATAGTAGTAGCAGTAATAGCAGTAATAATAATGATACTGGATTAACAATAACAATACCAACAACGACAACAATAACAATAATCATAATAATACCAACAATAACAATATACCCTGTACAACTTTTAACACGTTCAATGTATAAAAGGAAAAAAATATTAAAATAAAATCAGAGTACGGTACATATAAATAGTCTCAAATACATAAAAACATTATTGGATCTCCTGAAGAATCATCACCCCAGCCCGCTCCACCTGAAGAATCATCACCCCAGTCTGCTCCACCTGAAGAATCATCACCCCAGAATCATCACCCCAGTCTGCTCCACCTGAAGAATCATCACCCCAGTCTGCTCCACCTGAAGAATCATCACCCCGGTCTGCTCCACCTGAAGAATCATCACCCCAGTCTGTTCCACCTGAAGAATCATCACCCCAGTCAATCCACCTGAAGAATCATCACCCCAGTCTGTTCCACCTGAAGAATCATCACCCCAGTCTGCTCCACCTGAAGAATCATCACCCGTCTGTTCCACCTGAAGAAGCATCACCCCAGTCTGTTCCACCTGAAGAATCATCACCCCAGTCTGCTCCACCTGAAGAATCAGCACCCCAGCCCACTCCACCTGAAGAATCATCACCCCAGCCTGCTCCACCTGAAGAATCATCACCCCAGCCTGCTCCACCTGAAGAATCATCACCCCAGCCTGCTCCACCTGAAGAATCATCACCCCAGCCTGCTCCACCTGAAGAATCATCACCCCAGCCGCTCCACCTGAAGAATCATCACCCCAGCCTGTCCCACCTGAAGAATCATCACCCAGCCTGCTCCACCTGAAGAATCATCACCCCAGCCTGCTCCACCTGAAGAATCATCACCCCAGCCTGCTCCACCTGAAGAATCATCACCCCAGCCTGCTCCGCCTGAAGAATCATCACCCCAGCCTGCTCCACCTGAAGAATCACCCCAGGTTGTCCCACCTGAAGAATCATCACCCCAGCCTGCTCCGCCTGAAGAATCATCACCCCAGCTCCACCTGAAGATCACCTGAAGAAGCCTGCTCCGCCATCACCCCAGCCTGCTCCGCCTGAAGAATCATCACCCCAGCCTGCTCCGCCTGAAGAATCATCACCCCAGCCTGCTCCGCCTGAAGAATCATCACCCCAGCCTGCTCCACCTGAAGAATCATCACCCCCAGGTTGTCCCACCTGAAGAATCTTCACCCCATGTTGTCCCACCTGAAGAATCATCACCCCCAGGTTGTCCCACCTGAAGAATCATCACCCCAGGTTGTCCCACCTGAAGAATCATCACCCCAGCCCATAATGAATATACAGTATATTGTATAATTAGGGTAACAAAAATGCAAAATATACATTTCTTTGTGTTATGCATCTTTATTAAAAAGATTTACAGAAAATGCAAGACCAATATACACAGAATTGCAAAATTAACAAGATACAAGAATAATATAGATAACATTGCAAAATACACTACTAAAAATAAAATACTTTACTCAATATTCCAAAATACACGATGCATATTACAATGGGTGGGGAACCTAACCTAACCTAACCACCATGGAAGATCTTGACCCCATCTAAAGAATTGTCACCATGCCAAACTCTGGGGTGACGATTCTTCAGGTGATCCACACTATTATTATAGTTTTGGTACAATCTTGGAGCAACACCGACCCCATCTCGGTTAAGCTGTTGGCGAGTGAGGCAGTTAAATGTTTTCTCACATCTGCAGGTAACAGCGAGAGGGGTGAAGGGGAGAGGAGAGAAAGAGGTGAAGGGGAGGTGTGTTTGGAAGATGGGGAGGAGAGATCGATAGAGTGAGACAAAGAGAGAGACTTAATGTGTAATATTTTGAGAGTGAGAGGCGAGGTTAAAGAAAACGTGAGTGTTGGTCGTGGCTAAGGATGATAAAACTATGCTGGTATTGACTCGTTGTTAATAGACTCGCTCACTGACACGTACTCCACTCCACACCACACCACACCATCCTACCCATCCACACCACACCCATACCTCACCACCCTACCCATCCCCACCACACCATACCCACACACCTCACCACCCTACCCATCCCCACCACACCATACCCACACACCTCACTGCCCTCATCATCCCCACACACCATACCCACACACCTCACCAACCTACCCATCCCCACCACACCATACCCACACACCTCACCACCCTACCCATCCCCATCACACTATACCCACACCATACGACATGTTCTCAGCACCTGAAACCAGATACGATGAGAGAGAGAGAGAGAGAGAGAGAGAGAGAGAGAGACTTAATTCACAAGAGGAGATTATCTATGACAACCAATCTTTACTCTTGACAAAAATGATCTACTGACGCACTCCTGACATCTAACATTTACACAGACAGACAGACAGACAGTCAAGACAGACAGACAGACAGTCAAGACAGGCGTCACTCAACTAGGATTGAACGACAAATACTAAAATATATTCATTTAAGAGGTGAAGCCTCGCAGGTGAGTGATGTAGCTGACTTACTATTCAATAAGAACAATCGTACAGTATAGTGGAAAGAGGTGTGTGTGTGTCAAGGGTGAAGAGATGTGTGTCAAGGGTGAGAGGGGTGTGTGTGTCAAGGATGAAGAGGTGTGTCAAGGGTGAGAGGGATGTGTGTCAAGGGTGAAGAGGTGTGGCCAAGGGTGAGAGGGGTGTGGGGTCAAGGGTGAGAGGGGTGTGTCAAGGGTGAGGAGGTGTGCCGATGGGTGAGATGGGTGTGTGCTGAAGGGGTGAGAGGGGTGTGTGTGTCAAGGGTGAAGAGGTGTGGGTCAAGGATGAGAGGGGTGTGTGTGTCAAGGATGAAGAGGTGTGTGTCAAGGGTGAGAGGGGTGTGTCAAGGGTGAGAGGGTGTGTCAACGGTGAAGAGGTGTGTCAAGGGTGAGATGGGTGTCAAGGGTGAGAGGTGTGTGTGTCAAGGGTGAAAGAGGTGTGTGTCAAGGGTGAGATGGGTGTGTCAACGGTGAAGAGGGGTGTGTCAAGGGTGAGAGGGGGGCATTAAAGCCTCAGTGCCACGTTAGCAAGTGACACACACCATCCTATTACACAACAACATATGTATACACACTGCTGCTAAATCAAATTCCCTTTTTTTTCTCTTTCTACCATCGAGCCGCGAGGATAAAAACATCTCACGTCAATCCATTAGATGAAAGTGGAGAGCGGGGGAAGAGG